GACTTTATATCTTACGTAGATGACTTTATATCTTACGTAGATGACTTTATATCTTACGTAGATGACTGTATATCTTACGTAGATGACTTTATATCTTACGTAGATGACTTTATATCTCACGTAGACTACTTTATATCTTACGTAGACTACTTTATATCTTACGTAGATGACGTTATATCTTATGTAGATGACGTTATATCTTAGGTAGACTACTTTATATCTTACGTAGATGACTTTATATCTTACGTAGACTACTTTTTATCTTACGTAGATTGCTTTTTATCTTACCGAGATGACTTTATAACTTACGTAGACTACTTTATATCTTACGTAGACCACTTTATATGTTACGTAGATGACTTTATATCGTATGTAGATGACTTTATATTTTACGTAGACTACTTTATATGTTACGTAGATGACTTTATATCTTACGTAGATGACTTTATATCTTACGCAGACTACTTTATATCTTACGTAGATGACTTAATATCTTATGTAGACTACTTTATATCTTACGTAGACGACTTTATATCTTACGTAAATGACTTCATATCTGACGTAGATGACTTCATATCTTACGTAGCCGACTTTATATTTTACGTAGATGACTTTATATCTTACGTTGACTATTTTATATCTTATGTAGATGACTTCATATTTTACGTAGATGACTTTATATCTTACGTAGACTACTTTATATCTTAACGTGGATGTCTTTATATCTTATGTAGACGACTTTATAGGTTACGTAAATGACTTCATATCTTACGTAGACGACTTTATATCTTACGTAGACTACTTTATATGTTACGTAGATGACTTTATATCTTACGTAGATGACTTCATATCTGACGTAGACGACTTTATATCTTACGTAGACTACTTTATATGTTACGTAGATGACTTTATATCTTACGTAGACGACTTAATATCTTACGTAGACTACTTTATATGTTACGTAGATGACTTTATATCTTACGTAGACGACTTTATATCTTACGTAGACGACTTAGCACACTTCAGCACTTGAGATGCCTTCCCCGATGAGTTCTTCAATGCAATGACGTGCATACACATCTCAGTGGCCGCAAGCATTTCACGACCAACTTTCGAACGCTATTTACAATATGCTTTCGAATAGTAGTGCAAGCCGTAGCATTCGCAGAGACACGGACTGTTGTTATATCACAGTCACACGAGTGCAATTGGCCACCGTTGGGCTCACACACACGCGCTGTCGGTCTGTCACAGGAGATGGCGGCGCATCTGCTAACACTCATTCGCGACGATTCCATCACGTGGACAAGGCACACGCGCGTGGTGTTCAACCGCACCGTAGAAAGCCCCAGGGTTACTAACCTCTACAGGCTTAGCGTGCTGGGTGAAGCCAACGCTTGCACTACTATAGCACACGCCGAATTGCATCTGTACAATAAGCAGCCCATCAGTAAGTTTACTTGTAGATGCTGAACTAGGGGTTTAGGGTTTAGTTTTAGGGTGTTATGCGGATGCTGAGCAAGAACGATGGCGTGTGGATTGGTTAGCTTGCGAGTGGGGAAGCGTACTTTCTGCACTTTCTTATTGCGAATACTCTCTTGGTCAATACAATCCTACTATACATCGTGTATATATACCTTGTTGGTTGACTGAGGTAACCGTTGCATATGCATTTGTTAACTGTTAGTTCACCCTCTTTCTTGATGCGTGTCTGCGACTCAATAAGGAAGCTATGCATCAAGCTAGTATGTGCTCAAGTCCTATCGCACATGTTTTCTGCATGCTGACTATCATCTGAACAGCTGACATGGAGCGGGAGAAGAAGATACAGCGTCTGCTGAACACTGCTGCGGCTATCGTTGGGCAGAAAGTGGATGCGCTCCAGCGCACTCGTCGACCACCGGATGTAAGTTGTGTGATCGCTTGGTTGTGTGACTGTGGGGTTGTGTGATTGTGTGGTTGTGTGACTGTGGGGTTGTGTGATTGTGTGGTTGTGTGATTGTGTGGTTGTGTGGTTGTGTGGTTGTGTGGTTGTGTGGTTGTGTGGTTGTGTGGTTGTGTGGTTGTGTGGTTGTGTGGTTGTGTGGGTCTGAAGGGGGCTAGCTAACCCTAGTTGCATGTTGAGTGGTTAGTAGGTCTTTCACTGTCTATTGGTTACTATATGATTGTAGCACTCAGAGATCCGACTCCTTGGGACTCTCATGTGATGGTAGCAGCAATCAAGTATGTGCTCAGGTGGTGTGTGTAACTTAACCACATCAGTCTCAGTTGCGCATGTCTCGAGTAGCCACTGCCGTCAATCACAGCCGCTGTAATACACATCCGAATTCCGATTTTAGGGTTTTAGGGTTTTTAGGGCTTCATTTTTTTCTGCTGTTGGTATAAACATTGGTAAGTGTCCGAGTTTCATATGCCGAGATCCATACGCAATGCATCCATAAAACAACCCATACGAAGTCCATACTTATGTACACACACCCGCGTCCTAGCTAAGTCGCCACTGCTGGTACCTCTTAGCTCAGCAGCCACTGTTGCTACCTCTTAGCTAAGCCGCCGCTGCTGCTATCTCTGTATCGCCTTATTGTGCATAACAGGTAGAACCACTGCCGCCGTGGAAGCCGACACTTGTGATCATCAATGTGTACCGCAACGGCCAGGACGCCACCGGTCGCCATAGCGACACTCTCAATGTGTTGGGACCACGCGCACTGATTGGTAGTGTGTCGCTGGGCGCAGAACGATTGTTTACGCTGGACAAAGTGGTAGGTAGTAGACGGCAAGTGGTAGGTAGTAGACGGCAAGTGGTAGGTAGTAGACGGCAAGTGGTAGGTAGTAGACGGTAAGTGGCAGGTAGTAGACGGCAAGTGGTAGGTAGTAGACGGCAAGGTAGACGAGACGGCAAGTGATAGGTAGTAGACGGTAAGTGATAGGTAGTAGACGGTAAGTGATAGGTAGTAGACGGCAAGTGGTAGGTAGTAGACGGCAAGTGATAGGTAGTAGACGGCAAGTGGTAGGTAGTAGACGGCAAGTGGTAATTAGTAGACGGCAAGGTAGACGAGACGGCAAGTGGTAGGTAGTAGACGGCAAGTGGTAGGGTAGTAGACGGCAAGTGGTAGGTAGTAGACGGCAAGTGGTAGGTAGAAGACGGCAGGTGGTAGCAAGTATCTGGTATACTCGGAAAATGCAGAGGGTACTGATTGATTTGTGAAAAAGTGCTGGGCTATAGTTCTGACTTAGGATGAAGTGGTTGGGGAAAGCGCTTTCCGTCTGGTCATACAGGCGGGTGGTAAATCGCACTTATGTTTGGGTGACCATCGTGGTTTCAGCTTGTTTCCTCTGACCGAGGTTGCGCTCGATGAGTATATAAGCGGAGTGTTACGAGTGTTCAGGTGTTTGTTATATCTCAAATTGGCACTTTCTCATGTTTGAAATTCTTCACCTGCCACAGAGCAAGACCACCAATCAGAACGAGCTCGCCTGGGACGAGTCGACTAAAACCAACGTCAACGAGAAGGTCAGTAGCCTGTACGCACGCACACACGCACACCACAGACACACACCCGCACATATACACACCACAGACACACCCGCACACAAGCAGGCACCGGCCTGTCCTTAAAACTCTACGCATCCCACGCACTGAGCAGTAGTCTGTAGGGCCCAGATGTGGGTTGTGCATGGTCAGGGGTGCGTGAGTGAATGTGCTCGTGCGTGCACAATGCTACGTGGGTCTTCAAGATATGTGGCTCGCGAGTATTCGATGCTGCTGCGGGTCTTTTTAAACACATATCCTGCCCGCGGAGCTGTCATTTAAATTTACTCAGACGGCAATGTAGGTTAATCTAGAATGTGTGGAGGCGCATGCTCTCATTCACTGGTGCTGTTTTGCATGCAGTTTGCTGTGCGTTTGCGCCACAACTCCTTGCTGGTGATGTGGGAAGGGTGTCAGGAAGCGTGGAAGCACGAGGTAGGTACACACTGCAATATATCTGTATGGTTGTGTGCTGTAACATATCTGTGTGGTTGTGTGCTGTAATATATCTGTGTGGTTGTGTGCTGTAACATATCTGTGTGGTTGTGTGCTGTAACATATCTGTGTGGTTTTGTGCTGCATTATATCTGTGTGGTTGTGTGCTGTTACATATCTATGTGGTTTTGTGCTGCAATATATCTGTGTGGTTGTGTGCCGGTTAGAACTATGTAACATATCTGCAGTTCTCATGAGAGATCTATGGCATGTGTATGATAGTGTGTGGGGCGTTTTTGGTGCACCCACACCATCTGAAGCCTACTTAGCTTGGTCGCCAGCGGATGTATCTATTGCTCGCATGCGCAGAGTTTTACCCGGCGCGGTCACTTTGTATGACGTTTGGGTGTTTATTCTGATTTCGCGACTGTCGTGCATATCCGTGGTACTACCTTAAACCCTAGGTCCTCGTGGACGTACCAGACCCGGCAACGGTATGTGCGTATGAGATTTGTGATTTCGTGGCTGTCATGCGCATGTGTGGTACTGAGTCGTGTACCCTCACATCCACCCACGCACAGGTGCCCAAAGAATCACACTACACCAGTCACAAGATCAGTGGCGCACTGCGAGTCAACTTGACGTTCCGAAGGCATGACCCGGAGTATGTGCGAAAACAGCCCATCTGCTGCGGCGTAAAACGTGAGTGGTGTGAGGTGTCTTTGATAAAAGAATTATAAGTTAGATTGCGTATGCATATAGCTCTGATAATACAGGCGCTGGCCTGTGCACATACATACACGTGTAGGAGTGAGCCAAAGCGTGCTGAGAAAGACTATCCTGTGACGGGTCAGTACATAAGTAGGTGGAGGCTTATCTCGTCTCTAAGTGGCACGATTGATTGGCCTGCGAGAGGCTCTTGCTTCATCACTATGGCTCAGTTTGTACGGCACGATACTGCGAGATACAACTGAGTACGTGCATTTGCCACGCTGGCGAGAAGGTGCTGCAGAGGTCTCTGAGGCAATCGACTGCATAATTACGGGGCGTTCTGTTCTTTAAGATACACGTATCATAGCAAAACAAAATGAATTTGTACATGTATATGTATATGCATGCATAGCTTTATTATCCTGGATGCAGACATGCTGTTCAGCAACCAACTCTCATACAACTACGACATGTGAGTTTATGGAAAGCTTCCACGCCTATATGGTGACAGGATATACAGTATGAACGCGTAAATAATTAGGTCTATACGAGTCATTTGCTCGTATTGGTACCAATACACATGTCAAGACGATGTTTGCTTTTTATTTATTAATACATTCTGGGCGCTCAGGCACTTTGCGGACAATATTCAAGGACGGGCCAAACCACGGGAGGTACTTCTGGATGTGCTCCATGTGTCCGAAAACGTTGTGGGACGATCATGTTCTTTAGCCTGACGCCTTTGGACTAGCGTTACTGTCTGAGCGTGCTGTGACCTGCCAAACAGCCGCTTTGAGCGGCTACCAGTACACGTTGGAGGTGCCATGTACAGGGGTTAGAACAAACCTCTCAGCTACAGTTAGTTGCTGGTGATTAGCAAGCACGGCATCGGCAACGCAACATCGGGCCCATGTCTGCCCGGCCACAACCTCCTGTCCAATTAGCAACAACATAGCAGTTATAGTAACGGCGTAGCATAGCTATCAGCACACGCACACACAGCCAATGCGCAATACATGCAAATTGTAAGCACATGCACACAGCTGAAGAACAACATGTTCACTGCTGAAGCACATCACTGCTGGCGTACCCAGAGATTTTAATAGTTGTCGGCGTAGTCCCAACCATAAAGTAAGGCAGTCATACCACTGCCATAGCCTTAGCCTTAGCCAAAGAATAACAAGATCATCGCAAGTACAGTTGTTACTTGGCCTAGCACAATCTATTCTCAGCTACGAAATGGCTAAGTCTCGTGTAATAACTGATGTGTATTTGAGTACAACTCTGGCATGTTTGACATGCACATCGTTTAACGATTCACAGAATCACAGCTGGTGCACTGTGCAGCAAGAAGCCATACCACAGTACAACCCATCCGACATACGTCATTGTCCATCGAAGTCTGCTAAAGTGTGGCAGCTATCATTTCGTCCAGCGATGATCAGAGACACATCAGCTATATCAATCACATAGACTAGTGCCACTGGCAGATCCGACCGGCTTAGCGTTTAATCGGAAACCACATATCGCTGTGAACTCCTCATCCAGAAACTCTACCTCTGGGCCCATGTCAGGGGAGAAAAACATTTAGTACTTCGTCGGTATAGAAAACACATATTAGTCGCTTTTAATAAATAAACATTATACCCTAGTATACTTGATAAAAAATGTCCATCCTGCACCTTGTACCTTATAAAACACAGACACACAGACACAGACACAGACACAGACACAGACACACATGTTGTAAACCGG